AATATATCAAATACATCTCAGAAATACTTTTGCTAAATTTTATCGAGATCGGTTAAGATTTGGATATAGCTCATATATATAACTTCGTCCGATTTACCTTGGATTGTGCACCAAACCTTTAAAATTGGATAAAATTTGGCACTTTCGAACGAATTGAGTCTAGAAGATAGTATGTCAAATTTGGTGAATATCGGTTCAGATATAGCTCCCATATATATTGCTCATCCGATTTGTCATATTTGTTACCCACAGCCGTAATATGCACTCCGTAACAACGATATTCAGGGAAATATATCAAATACAGCTCAGAAATATCTTTGCCAAATTTTATCGAGATCGGTTCCGATTTGGATATAGCTGCCATATATATTTTTATCCGATTTCAAATTAATTGTGCACCAAATGGGCAATACAAATCCGAATTTAAAAGATACAAATGCTTCGGCACATTTAGTCCTTTGAACTTTAAATTATAATTATAATCATAGCGTGTATGATTGAATTCTCCCATAAAACTTTTACTTGTTATGTGGAGCTCAACTTAATTAGCAAAGTGGTGTAGGGTATCATAAAATCGGCCCCGCCCGACTTTAGGACTTTCTTTACTGGTTTTTTAATGAAATTGTCTGAAAATCCACACAAGAACTTTTTTCTAAGAATTATACCCCGTAGAAGATAACTCTCTATATGTATAGGTCCACAATATCGTAAAGCATCTATTTTTAAGATTTTAGGAAAATAATTCACCTGAGTTTTTTCAAATTACGTTTTTAGGGTTCGTTTGGGTACAAACCATCACAAAAAATTGTGTATGTAGGTCCACGTCTTTGTATAGCCTCCATATAACGGTACCTCCCTACATGCGCTATTTTGATGATTTTAGCTACATTATTCACCGGATTTTTTCAAGTTTCGCATTTGAATATTATAATGACTTATGGCAAAAGTTCACTATACTGATCCCCTTCTTCGCATAAACTCCAATATGACGGATATATTCCGAATTATTAAGATTTTTACAAAATGTTTAAAGGATTTTATTTATTTATTTATTATTTTTTTTTTGAAAATTTCCAAATTCTTTCCAAATGGTGGTTTGGAATTTACTGTTTATACCCTACAACACTATGTGTTGGGGGTATTATAAGTTTGATTGGGCCAGAATTTATGTAACATCTCGAAATATTGGTTTCCCATATAGGAAAGTATATATGGATCTTCCTAGCTCGCCGAGCTGAGTCGATCTAGCTATGTATGTCCGTCCGTCCGTCCGTCCGTCCGTCCGTCTGTCCGTCTGTCCATGTTAATTTGTAATCACTCTACAGGTCGCAATTATGGCCCGATCTTTACGAAATTTAAAATGTAGGTGGGGTTAAGGTCAGAATAGAACCCTATTTCTTTTGGAGATGATCGCCAAATGTTTAGGGGTTGAAATGGACCAAATACTGAAAAAATGTCGGATTTTGCAGTAGCTATACAGGTCGTAATTATAAACCAATCGACGCGGAATTTCGCATGTAGCTAGAGTTTAGAGCGGGGAAGAAGCATACCAATTTGGGTGGACATTGGATAATATTTAGAGGCTAAAGTAGACCATATCTTTTTTGTTGAAAAAATTCAAAATTTTTCATTAAACCGCGAATATTCTAAATCCCGGCGAAATCACAAAGCCATGACAAGGTTACTTTTGATCTTTACATTGATGTTAAGATCCAACAAATCGAATATATAGCAAAATATGTGCGATATATATGTCTATCAAAGAAGATATGCTTGAAAGATCTATTTTATGTCGAGAACGGCTGAACTGATTTCGACAGTTCTCACTAATTCAGAATGGCCTCTTGGCAGGAATCAAAAAACGTCTAAAAAAATCGCATAAAAATATCTCTCTAAAGTCATATTTTGTCATATTTTCATTTTGAATTAAACATTTGGTAATATTTCTACAGCTAACAAAACTAAGTAGTTAGGATATCATATAGAGATCGCATTTATGGCCCGATCCTTACGAAATTTTGCATGGGGATAAGATGAGGGTCAGAATAGAAGCCTACTCTTTTTGGAGATGATTGCCGTATATTTAGGGGTTGAAATGGACCAAAAAACTGCAAAATTGTCGGCAGGTCGTAATTATCGCACATTTGAATGGGGGTTACCGGACATTGCAAAAGCCAAGAAGTTTCGGATGGCCATCCAAAAATATTCAATGTGTGAAATAGTTTTCCAACTTTTGTAGACTAAATACGAAAATGTCCATTCCAGTGACTTTTTGGAGAATTCACAAATACAGGAAACACGCACTTCTGACTACTTCGTTAACGCTGATTTCGTTGAAGAATATAGTCAAATGTCTGTATCTCATATAGATGCGTTTCAGTCAAAAACCAATAATAAATGTCAATCTTTTGCCACTTCTGAGAGATTATAGGTCTTTGGGAAATATTGGTTATAGATCTAGGAAGACCATTTAAGTGCAACATCTACCAATAAATTGGAAATGAGCAAATTAGTTAAAGTTGCTATTATTCGAAAATTAGAGAACGAAACCTGATGGTTTTCTTTTATAATTTGTCACAATATCTTGTGGAATTCTTTCGAGTATCTCGCCTATATAAACTGTATCGTTTATTGTAGTGTTGTAGAGTATTCAACGGTCGGCCCCGCTCGACTGTAGCCTTTGCTTACTTGTTTTTACTTGTTTATAATAATATCATTAAAAAAATTAATTTCCGACTCTTGAAAAGCAAATGTCAAAATTGGATATACCTTCTACCAATTGGAAGGAAATTGTAAATTTTCAAAACAAAAAAAGAAATCGTTGAAAAATACTGCAAAATTCACAAAATGTGGACCTCTATTGGTAATTTTATTTAATATTTAAATACGAAACTTGAAACAATTCCGCAAAAACGTCAAAATTTCAAATATTGGGAGGTACCGTTATATATTTTTTTCTGTCACAGGCTATAGTACTCATTACGAATTTTACATATGATATTTGAAACAATTCGGGAGGATAATGTCGTTAAAATCACGAAAATAACAAATATTGGTAAGTACCGTTATTTAGGGACTGTAGGAATACCTGGACATGTAAAAGCAATGCGCTAATGCTAAAATCATCAAAACACATATTAATACCCACATATGAAGGGCTCACAGCTATACCGAACTAAGTCATAAAAACATAATTCGAAGATATTTAGAGGTAAAGTAAATGCACTGCAATTAATTTCTGTAAGGAATATTTCAGTCTACTAAAAGAAAATGTAAAAGTCTATATTCAAAATTAACTAATGATATAAATTTAAAAACAAAAATAATAAAATATATTACTAAAAATATATTCAAAAACAAAAAAATCTACTTTGGTTCATTATTACTCTGATTAAAATTTGAATGTTTCACAGTTAAAGCGAACCAAGTCAAAAAAATATAATAAAGTGTTCGCTATATGACTAAATATAGTTGATGTTCCGCTTGTAATAAGCAACTGATGTTGATAGCTTTGGAATGCTTTTTGAAGGTCGAAAGTACAGATATAGTGTTCATCAGATGGTACTTCTGAATTCAGTGAGTCTCGAACTAGCTGTGCTGCTTTTAAATGAAGTTCCTGTTGCCAAATTAAATTTGTATTTTCATCTTCATGGAAATTTATTTTCATGTCAAGTTCATCACAAACTCGACAAGTATCCTTATTCGGATAAAATTTCGTGCTGAACTTTATAATAAAAAAAACATTTTGTTTTGCGTAATCTGCAAGTTTCCAAAATGACTCGAAAAATAATTCTCTGTTAGATTGATTCACCTGGTTGTTACATTTTATTCTGCATCCACAATCATAATTAGGTATAAATGTTTTTGCGGAAGTTGTAAGACACTTCTGATTTGTGTATGCTTTTCCACTGTTGCAGCGAAGCTTATGCACACTCCACTTTTCCGGGATTATTCATCTTTTACTTTTAAAAATTATAAAAATACCGAATAAAGGGAGTTACCGTAATATGGGGGTCTATACGAAAATTTGGACCTGCCCAGGCAAGTTTTGTCATAGTTCATCACAATATTTAAATGGGAAACTGGAAAATATCCGGTAAATAATATCGCAAAAACATCAAAATTCTTAATACGAAATACGAAAGTCATCAAAATACCGATAATTTTCAATACCAAACGCCCTGTAGACCATACACACATCTGAGTAAAATTTTATCAACCTACTTCAGTTGGCTCGGAATCTAGAGTGATTTCCACATATTGACGGACATCGCAAAACCGACATTGAATTTTATGCTGATCAAGAATATATATACTTTGTAGAGTCTAAAATATATATTTCGTGGTGCTACACACGGAATGACCAACTTAATATGCCCTCCATACTATACCCTCCACGTACATCTGTCGGCAAAACTGACTGATACTTTTTAACTTGTTTTGTTTTTTATATTGCTGAAAACTGAACAGCAATATACACTTGCTCACTAATAGAACTGATTTAAAGTGAAACACACTGACTTGGTTCATTTTTGCTTTGAATAAAAACGAAAAGGACAGTCGTTGACTTAGGTTTTTTACCGTTATCTTTGGAACGAAACACTTTTTGACATTATGCTTTGCAGTGTAAATAGAGTTGCCACATGCGGGGACATTGGCACTAGTTTCGGCATTTTTTATTTTTCATGACTTGGTTCGGTATAGCAGTGAGCCCTCCATATGTAAGCTATACGAAGACATGGGCCAGCATAGGCAATTTTCTGTCACAGAAATTTGAGACAATTCCTTTGAATAAAGTCACTGAAATCAGCAACATACCAATTTAGTACTTTTTGGATCTTAAAATTCCAAGCATACCATGGTGGAGGTAAAGTCCTGACAGCATTAGTCAGTGCAAAGTTCGGGTAATTTCTTTGAAACGTTACAGCTGAGGTACATTGTTGCTGGTTATCCCAAGAAGGTAGTCCAGTACAGAAAATATTCTATAACAGTTTACTTACATTTTTTGCCACTTGTGCTGGTCACCTCCATGGCCGTTGTGGTATCCTTTGCCGCAACTGCAGAGTTGACATTCATGGAACCGTTTTTATTCAAAATATTTGGTATTTTCATGATGACACTAGTTTGGTTAGATTTTTTTTTTGTTGCAGCCGAGGGGTAAAATTCCAAATCAGTAATTAAATCAAACAAAAATTTTAATTGCACATAAATTAGAATACGCTGTTCATTTCACGTTATTTTCTCTTTTTGTTGTTGTTGCTTTTGTTTTGTTAAGTGTTGTTGTAAAAATATTATAGTTTTACGATATTCTATGGAGAATAGTTAATTGTTGTTGTTGTTGTTGTTGTAATCAGCTCACAATAAATTTCACATGCGACAAAGCAGGAAGGGGGGAGTGGGGTCCGCAATTCAAAGCGTTAACTGTATTCCGTGATTTATTTTTAATGGTAATTCAGATAAATAAATTTCGAAATTCTCTCGCTGGGCCAGGCGAATTTGAGCACAAAATTTGCCAATGCCATTAAAAAATTTCTAACGTGGCAATTAAAGGTGTTCGATTGGTGTTTTCTTTTGTTTTGTCGCCGGTATTTTTTTTTTTTTAATTGGTTTTAAACTAATTTTTGTTGTTTGATTATAGAATTTGTTGTTGCTGGTTTCTCTTCGTTGGGTTTGTTGTTGTTGTTGTATATTTTTATATTTCTTTGTTCTTTTTGTGTTACTTTGGCAATTTGTTTGTTTGTGGGAACTTTTTTCCAGTTGGCTGAAGCTGGATGCTGTTTTGTTGTTGTTGTTGGTGATGGTGTTGCTGATTGTTTTTTGTATTTAAATTAAAAATTCTTTCTTTTTTTAATATTCTTTAAAAATCGGCACTTGACTTCTGTGAAGGGCGCTTGAAGCTACTTTTGGCCACGTTGATTTTTGTTTTTAAATTTTATTGTATTTCGATTTTCAAATGCTGCCGCCGTCTGTTTGACGTGTTGGCCGCGACAAATTCAACTTGACTGAACATTCTGTTAGCGTTACAATTCAATTTATATTGTATTGGGGGTTTTGTTGCTGCTGCTGCCATTCATTGGCTTGGCAGGTTGGCCCGGCTTGCTTTCAGATTATTTCTTTTCCATTTATTTATGTTTATTTGTTGCTGTTGTCTTTCTTCTTATTAATAAATATTTTGATTTTTTTGTGCAAGCGCGTACCGCTTAGCTAAGTAAGCAGCTAGCCACATTGATCTTGTTAAGCGATCTCACCATTGTTTGATGGGGCTGGTGTTGGGGTTGGCTTGGTGGGGGAGATCGTCGCGCTCGCTGTCGTGGTGGTTGTGTGTGTGTTAAGTGCTGCGTTGTCACAGCTTGGCATGAGACCTGCTAACGCCACAATCATTTACCTGTCTGCCTTCCTTGCAATTGATTAGTGATAACTTATCCATGTTTGCTTTTTGTTTGTTTTATTGTTGTTTTTTTTTTTGCTGCAAGGCATTGCTGATATCCGTTTAATTTACCAAGATTTCATGATAATAAATTTGAGATGTATATTTTTGTGACAGGGCTTCTTTTTGGATTTGGCGGCAATAATTAGTAGATTTTTTAATGATGTTCACTTTTTTCCTTAATTTAATATTTTTTTTGGAACTTCCAGTAAATCTTCCATAACAAACCTCAATATTAGAAGCCTCAATATAATAACTAAATAAATATTTTCTATTCCAATCACCCATTGTAATTCAAAAGAAATGCCAGATTTGGCTTCGTTATAATGTGGTATTCAATTGAGAAAATCCGCAAAACAAATCCAGTAAAGGAAAATATGACTTTAGATGGATGGTTTAAATTAATCGAAAATTTGAAGTGGCAGTTTTGAATTTTCAACCATAACATGGGTTTTACATTACTCCGAAACATTCCTCGGAGACCCCCTATGAAGAATAAATTAATTCATAATCATATCGAAATTCAGTCAATTTGACGATGGCAGAAAAAAAATCTTAGAATCAAATACAGGGCGCGATGAAAAAAAAATGCAACCAACTTCAGACTGCTGTCATTTCTCAGTCACTCGTATGACAACTGTTAAAATTATTCTAGTGACAGCTCATTATATTGTTTACAAGCGTACAAAAACATTTTGGTGAGAATTTTCCAGAAAAAAAGTTATCCGTGATGGAATCGTGTGATTTCTTTCTATCCACTCCAGCATTTAAATGTGAATAAATCTTTTGCGTATCGTAACATCGCTCGTTACAGTGATACTTGTAGCGTAACCCGTCGTCAAGGATGTGAACGGAAGAAAACATAAACATCAACAAAAATGGTTCGAAAAGTAAGAAAGCGACTTGATCGAAACCCGCGTCGCAGTGGCCGAAAAATGACTCATGAGCTGAACATACCGCTGGGTAAAACCATTGAAATTCCAAAAAGTACAAGAACTTACACCGCAACGAAAAAAAATAGATTTAAAAGAGCTTGGCCGAAAGCTTTCACATAGATCAATGAACCCAATTTCGATTACCAATCATCCGAGACATAATATAATTAAGCACAATCTCAAAGTTGAAGAAAACAATTTTCAGCTCCACAGGGTGAGATAAAAAAAAACTAAAACAACGGCAAACGCTATAATTTTTACATTTTTCTTAAATTTAATTGAATGAAAGCAAAACATGTTTATACCCTACAACACTTTGTTGGGGGTATTATAAGTTTGATTGGCCCAAAAATTATGTAACACCTCGAAATATTGGTTTCCCACATAGGAAAGTATATATGGATCTTCCTAGCTCGCCGAGCTGAGACGATCTAGCTATGTATGTCCGTACGTCCGTCTGTCCATGTTAATTTGTAATCACGCTACAGGTCGCAATTATAGCCCGATCCTTACGAAATTTTGCACGAAGGTGGGGTTAGGGTCAGAATAGAAGCCTTTTGGAGATGATCGCCAAATGTTTAGGGGTTGATATGGACCAAATACTGAAAAAAATGTCGGATTTTGCAGTAGCTATACAGGTCGCAGTTATAGACCAATCGACGCGGAATTTCGCATGTAGCTAGAGTTTAGGGCGGGGAAGAAGCCTACCAATTTGGGTGGTCATCGGATAATATTTTGCGGGTAAAATAGACCATATCTTTTGTGTTGAAAAAATTCAAAATTTTTCATTAAACCGCGAATATTTTAAATCCCGGCGAAATCACAAAGCCATGACAAGGTTACTTCTGACCTTTACATTGATTTAACATCCATCAAATCGGATATATAGCAAAATTTGTGCGATATATCTATATCTATAAAAGAGGAAAATGTTTGTATGTTTGTTTGTTTGTTTGTTTGTTTGTAATTTATGGACTCGAAAACCGCTGAATAGATTTTCCTGAAAATTTCCATATATACTGCAACATCGTCTGAAAGTAACATAGGCTATATACATTTTTGAATTTCCACTTGGAACTGGAGATATAGCATCAGAATCGGAGGTACCTCCCAAAAATTTAGATTTTGTATGCACATATCTATTGATTGGTTGAAGATACAGTCTCCAAATTTGGAATACGTAACGGAATTTGGAACAAAAATAAGTTTGCCAAATTATATTGTAATCGGTTCAGATTTAGATATAGCTCCCATATATATTTTCGACCGATTTCGTTCATTTGATGCCTCAAACACAATATGAATGTTCGCTTCCAATGAAATTTGGAATATGTGACGGGATTTGATCCGAAAATAAATTTGTCAAATTATATTGAAATCGGTTCAGATTTGGATATAGCTCCTATATATATTTTCGGCGGATTTCAAGCATTTGATGCACCAAACACGCTATGTATCCCCAATTTCAATGACATTTGAAACGTGTGATAGATTTTATCTAAAAAATTGATTTCCCAAATTATATTGAAATCGGTTCAGATTTGGATATAGCTCCCATATATATTTTCGACCGATTTCATGTATTTTATGCACCAAACACGCTATGTATCTCTAATTTCAATGAAATTTGGAATGTGTAGCGAAAATTAAAACAAATATACATTTGTCAAATTATATTAAAATCGGTTCAAATTTGGATATAGCTCTCATATATATTTTCGACCGATTTCATGTATTTTATGCACCATACACGATATGTATGTTCGATTCCAAAGAAATTTGAAATATGTAACGGGATTTTGATTAGATAATAAATTAGTCAAATTATATTAAAATCGGTTTAGATTTGGATATAGCTCCCATATATATTTTCCGCCGATTTCACATATTTGATGCACAAAACACGATACGTATTTCCGATTCCAATGAAATTCGGCATGAGTGGCTAAATTTGGTACAAAAATAAATTTGACAAATTATATTCAAATACGCTCAGATTTGATTGTCAAATTATATTGAAATCAGTTGAGGTTTGGATATAGCTAACATATATATTTCGGCCGATTTCATACATGTTATGCACCAAACATGATATATATGACCGATACCAATGAAATTCAGAATGTGTGGCGGAATTTGGTTACAATAATAAATTTGACAAATTAATTGGAAATTAGTTAAGAGTTTGGTGTAAAAGAAAATTTTTTAAAATTATATTTAAATCGGATCAGATTGGGATATGATTTTAATAAGAACCATTTACCCACAACGCCTTAGGCTAACACTAAAAAACAACACAACAATTAATTTGAAATACGCTTATTACGGGGAATTATGTTGCTACATCGAATTCATTAATTGCAATATGAATGCCATTCAACTTCAAAAAATTGCAGTTTTCTGCACGCTTGGTACTTGCTATGAAATAAATTAATCCAAAGGACAAACCCTTCGAATATGCACTGCTTTTTTAACGACTTTGTTAATTAACACATTAAAGTAGTGCAATATTTTTTTTTAATTAAGTAAATAAAGTAAATAAAATTTTGAATGCATATAAAATCAAAAGGGGTAGCGACGCGCACCGGGTTCAGCTAGTATGTCTATAAAAGAAGATATGCTTGAAAGATCTCTTATATGTCGAGAACGGCTGAACTGATTTCGACAGTTCTCATTAATTCAAAATGGCCTCTTGGCAGGAAAGAAAAAACGCCAAAAAATTGCATAAAAATATCTCTCTAATGATGAAAATATTGATTTTGTAATATTTTCTCATATTTTTTCAATTTTGTCATATTTTTGGCATATTTTCATTTTGAATTAAACATTTGGTAATATTTCTACAGCTAACAAAACTAAGTAGTTAGGATATCAGGATATCATATGCAGATCGCATTTATGGCCCGATCCTTACGAAATTTTGCATGGAGATAAGGTGAGGGTCAGAATAGAAGCCTACTCTTTTTGGAGATGATCGCCATATATTTAGGGGTTGAAATGGACAAAAAAACTGCAAAATTGTCAGCAAGTCGTAATAATCGCCCGATCCTCACGCGCATTTGAATGGAGGTTACCGGAAATTGCAAAAGCCAAATAGTTTTGGATGGCCATCCAAAAATATTCAATGTGTGAAATAGTTTGCCAACTTTTGTAGACAAAATACGAAAATGTCCATTCTAGTGACGTTTTGGAGAATTCAGAAATACAGGAAAGACGCACTTCTGACTATTTTTTTAACGCTGATTTCGTTGAAGAATGTAGTCAAATGTCTGTATCTCATATAGATGCGTTTCAGTCAAAAACCAATAATAAATGTTAATCTTTTGCCACTTCTGAAAGATTATAGGTCTTTGGGAAATATTGGTTCCAGATCTAGGAAGACCATTTACGTGCAACATCTACCAATAAATTGGAAATGAGCAAATTAGGTAAAGTTGCTATTATTCGAAAATTAGAGAACGAAACCTGATGGTTTTCTTTTATTATTTGTCACAATTTTTTGTGGAATTCTTCCGAGTATCTCGCCTACATAAACTGTATCGTTTATTATAGTGTTGTAGGGTATTCAACGGTCGGCCCCGCTCGACTGTAGCCTTTGCTTACTTGTTTTATTTCAAAAATATGTTTCTTAAGTGCTACAAAAAATAATCTAACGCC